TAAGGGCTAAAAAAAATAAGTAAACAAAATTGTTGAGTATATTTTTCATTATGAATTGGGTTATATTGTGCATGGTTCGTTTTGAACTGCAAAAAGTTTTCGCAGTAGCAAGAACGTCTATTTCTCCTTCTCCAGCTGAAAATTTGGCCTGTTGATCGTAAAACCTATGAAGGCTCTAATTCGTTTTGCAATGCTCTGGTTTTCCAAGGTCATTTTTCATTATTTTAACCATTACTTTCCAGGTGTGCGCTATATATCGCCTTCCTTAATAGTAGTTTTAATTGTAGTGTCTTTGTCATTCTTACCTGCATCGCCTTACAGTCGTGTTTGGATTGGTGAAGCTAACTCACATTAAAATTTTATGCCCACTTCCTTGAACAATTAAGTCCTCGTGCTTTTTTATCGATGAGTAAATTGAATCTGTCAATAATCACACTTTGCTTACAAAATGAGGTCTTGGAATTATTAACATCGTGCCTTTACTTATTTTAGAAACTGGAAATCCAGATTGGATATTAATATTGGACCAGTGATTCACTTGATTCTTTCGAAGATGCACAACTACAAAAGGTGAGTTCCCTTTGGGGCACCTTTTCAACCGGCCTCAGTTATTTGAAACATCGAGCGGAATTCACCCCCTTAATCAACTCTGGTCTAATAAAAACAATTTCAGATTTAATATAACATAAACCAAAATCATACGTTTATCTCAGGACAGCGTAGTTATCGATTTCAATTGGCTTAACAGGGTTATTTATTTAGCACTCAAATGCATTTTGCCTGGAAGACCAAAAATTTTTCAGTAATTCAATTTTTTAATTTATCTGACCTCCCCCCCCCCTCTCTCTCTACACTACCACCTTTGTCGTGACCATATCGTCACTAGTTTAACCTGAGGTACTCAGCAAGGTAACTCTACGGCCTAGATTGCACAACTTCTGGGAGGAATATAAGTGAACAGACTTAAAACATTAACGGCAAACTTTCTATTCAGAAAATAAAGTGATTTGTATATAGAATGGATAAGCAGAGAATGATTGGTTGCCTCGCTAATCTAAAAATAGCATTCATGACGAAATTAAGATAATTAGGCATCACCACCGATGTTTCAAGAGAAGAACGTGCGTTTGGTCTGAGAAAAGAAATACTCAAGCACACTCGAAGCACTCTGCAGGGCATTCTTCCCTCTCATTCTAACTCTCCTAAACGAAGCAACTGTTTTGCCATCATCACCCTTCCTTTGTTCTCTTTTTCTTCTATTAGCATTGAATGACCTCTATAGCTTGATATTTTTCCCAACGTCAATTTTATTTTCATCTCTTCCGCGTTCCTTTTGGTCTTCACTGATTGGTTAACTTTTCTTCATTGATTGTGCGTTAATTTTAGCTAATGTTTATTTATATCTAATGGCAGGCGTTATGATAGTCACCATTAGCCCTCTAGTTGACTTCAGGCTTCACAGAGGGGAAGAAAAATCAAAGTGAAAAAAGGCGAGAGGAGGGGGGGGGAAGAGAAGAGTATTTCAAAGATGTAAAATGAACAGACGCATAGGTAGAAAAAAGGTGAGGTGAGTACTGTGGAAGTGGTCGACTATGACATACAGTGAGGTCATGGTAGTTTGAAGTCAGAAGTCAACTGCCAGTTAATAGGCTGTTTTTGCCGTATGAGCATACGTTGCCCAGGGTGCACCACGTGGAGGTAAGTCTATCACGCACCCCTTTAACTAATGTAATAGGATTTAGAACTGGGGTACAAATTTAGGTTTATTTATTCCTATTTCAATCATTTGATGTAGTAATATAAATCTAAAATGCTTTTTAGTTAGCCTCAAATTCTACTTTTGCATTAGTAGAATATTATCCATCTTCTTTCAGAGTAAGTTACCTTTCTTTCTATTTTCTCTTTTCATGATTTGACACCAAAATTCGTAAATATATAGATATTTGTTTTGAGACCGCGTTAGTGCAAACATGGCAGACATACAGGCTTGTCATTGCACCGCCACAGTGCACAGATAGCGATTTCCATATTACCAATAGACGTGGTTGCTATCTATCCAATTGTTATCCTTGTTATAGCGTTCCTCCACTTCAACTGGTAGCTGTCCATGACTCCACCATTCTGCCAATGTTATTGGCTCTCGACTCTTGCACTGAGATCTGGCCGCCGTTTGGTGCTGACATCACTTTTGAACTCTATTTTCAGTCTCAGGGTCCGATTTACAGGCCACCCAGTGGCCACACAATCCCTTTCACTGAACCAAACTCGTATTTCGACTGGTCTGGAAACATGGTTGAACATATGTGGGTACGAGTTCTTTACCTCGGTCAACCCCTACCTCTGCTTACCAAATGGTGCGATAATGAATCTATCCAGGAACTAACCGGTTCTCCTGACTTCCTTCCTCTAATGGAGTTCATCCTTAGACTGGCACCGATTACTTTGTCTCTGGATGATTATCATGCCAAGTGTCGTCAGATTACTGAACAACTTAAGGCCTCAAAAGGTCAACAAGGCGAACATCATATCCATAAGGGTCCGAAAAATATGTAGTTTCTTGGAGCCTGAATTTGGTGCATGTAAAGAAGGGATGGAACCTGAAATATGGCAAAATATATGATTGATGTTGTCTTGAATCTTTAATTGTTCTGGTGTTTGGGTGTTGCTACTTCTGTCTTATAAGTAGCAGTTGTCAAATAGTCTAAATTGCGTGTCTGTACTCAGGTTGTTATTATCGCTGGACGTTGCGCATATTGTATTCACATACGATGCTAAATGGCATATGCAATATCAAGAGGACGAATGAGCACAGAGTTATTTTATTCGGTTAAAAATAACTGAATAAAATTTTTTTAGATTATGACCATCTGTATTTATAACTTCGCTTCTAAGGAAAGGTGGAGGTTGGGATTGTTAAGTAAGAAAAAATGAATTCTTCGAAGAGCAAGTAGGGTTTAATTATACTTTATTGCATCATTGCAAAAAACAGTGGTTGGTTTAATAGCATGAGGAACAATATGTTCATAAATCCAGAATGAATTGTTTGCCATTGAATGATGTATTCATGCCAGATGCTCACCTCACCCAAGACGATAAACTGAATTGGAGCATGAAAGAGCATTTTACAGAGCGAAAAGTAATCGGAATCCATTAGGTTGGAATAAAATATTTTTCTCTATGCTATTATATGAATGGTCTAAAAGCAAGGAAAAATATCCGAAATATGTCTGTTGGAAATTATTTAAATAAAGGATGTGGTATAAAAATAATAGAAAAAAACATGAGACAGCCAAAATACTGAGGGAAAATCATATTATAACATAACGCAACGCAGTAAATACATGATTGGTAGAAAAAATGCGTGTTTTTCAAATTGCATATGCGTTATCAAAATGACAAATATATGATTTATTTGAGGGGTTGGGATGTTTTTACCACTACGCGGTACACTCTGAGAAGCGAATAGCATAAGGAAAAGGTCTATAAATCGGTAGCGGACTCTAAACTACCAAGACCCAACTGTATGACCTATTCGACCACTTCCACATTACTCAACTCCCCTTTTTTCTCAGCCTTTGTATATGTCTCACATACTTCCGTGAATCACTCTTCTGTTCCCAATCTCAACGTATTGCAAAATCAACAAAGGGGATATTGATAACTATCACGAAGCATAAATATTGAAATATATCGACATATATAAACAAAGTCCGCTTCTTTTAGTAAGGTTAACTTTGGTTTTATAACAGAATATTTATGCGCCCTACAGAATATAAGCCATTTAAATGGTTAAAAAATATAATTGCATCCGTATATATTCATGTACACCTGAATGCACGAAGACCTTCCTAGATAATAGAGTTAATTTAGATTATTCAATTTTAATCGTAAAGTTAAAGAATTCAAAATTTATGGCGTCATCATATCCTTTAATATATGAGCATAAATATGAAAGTCGGGTAGGTTGTATGGCGTCAAATTAGAGTGGATAGACAGAAACTTGGGAATATTTGTCATAAATTACGCATGCCACATGTCAAAAAAGTCATTTTTGGAAAATTTATAAAGTACAGTATACAAAATCTAATTGAAACGATTCCAGTTCATGAAAAGGACTTTAAAAATTGGTAGCAACTGAAAACAACAAGTTATTAAATTTATTATAGGCCACATAAATAAATACTTCTGGTTAGTTTGATTTTAAGGTTAAATAAAACATAAATTTGTTTGTTATCTTTAATCGCGAAAATGCACTAAAACAACAATTCTCGGCGACGCATTCCCCATTGCGCGTCGATCAAAGTTGGTGTGTCCTTTGCCTTTCCCACCAACTCGTTAATTAATTTGTTTTTAAGAAATTACTTTTAATTTCCCCTTCCCGTATGTTTGCGTTTTAAAATAATGCCTTATATTCTTAGATTAAATAGCGCTTTCTGAATTTATTCTTTAATCGGTCAAAATTCTGGACAAAGTATCACGGCTCGCCAGTAGTAACAAAAACTTGGCGAGCAGATCAAGCTCACGGTACAGTAGACCCTCTGTCAACCAGCCTCAGTCGACTTCTGATAAAGCTAGGACATGGCAGCCTGTTGCAGATCAGCATTACGAACCCCTTAGTAGTGAAGAAACTGCACGCAGGGAGGTCTTATTGTAAGATGCCATCATATTCTAATAACTTCCTTAGATTTCTAAATAAAATCACACCGGATTCATTTTACAGTTCAGCAAAAAGTATCTTAAGTGTTAATGTTGTTTCATCAGATATTCTTGACATCTTTGTAACTTTGGTGCGTTAAATCTAAATTCATTTATGACCTAAACTGTATTTGTTGAATAGATTTTTCAGAAAGCCTCTAATGAGCCGAATTTCACTTATCTTTATTCTCAGCTTTGCGTAATTCTTTGTGAGAAATCGCGAAACTTTGAAACTGACAATATATATACTGTAAGTCAATATTATAGTGGTTATGGAGTTTCCTTATAGTCTTTTAAACTTCTGCTTCTCAAGCGTTGTGAAACTGAGTTCTTTAAACGTCATAGTATCGATTTTAACAACCCCGTTCAACGTCAACGTAGTATCGGAGCTATTAGATTCATCGCTTACTTGGGTGTTGATAATGCCATACCGCATAGGATTCTTCATGACTGTGTCAGGACGCTTCTTCTCTGCAAAAGCACCACAAGTACAAATCAGACGCCACCTATATCGACACCACAGGACTCGTCAGCGTATCCGAAAGAAAACGAGGAAATCTCGCTGGATATGGAGTGTCTCTGTGAATTCATGAAAATTGCTGGTTCCCATTTGGATACACCGAAAGCGCGTAATCTGATGAACCAATATTTTGGTCGAATGGTGCAGATCGTTGAGCGTGCATCGCCAGAACGTCTGTGTGAGATTCGTAATGGCGTGAAGGGGGTAAAATTTGTTCCCCTGAGCACGCGCATTCGCTACATGATCACAGATGTGGTGGATCTGCGAAAGAATAACTGGAAACCGCTGTTTGACGGCCAGTTGAATGATTGTGGATATCCTTGGCATGCAGAAGATCTCATACGGGAGTATGAGGAGGTACGCTACAATGAATATTTTTAGGTTTTAAATGTGCCACTTTCAACCACTCGATTTGCGTTTCTTATGTTTAAAAATTTCACTTTTCAGAGAGAATTTTTTTAAAATTTATGAACTAGTCTTTTAAAATGGTATTTTATCAAATCGTATTTGTGCTCACGGTTAAGCAGCGTTCGTACCACTACTTGTTTGGCAGAACTCACTTCCCAATGCTCAAATTTTCGGTAGTTTTTTGGCCTTTTGGATTAAATAGCCATTCCGAATCCTTTTTATAAATACTTATATTAAAAAATTAATGTATTATCTAGAATTTGCAGGCGGATATGTTGTAGTACATTAGTGTTGACGTAGTTTTAAATCAGTTTTCTGATGGTAGCTTTACTACTAGCTTTATTACTGGAATTCGTCTTTTAGAAATCTTCATTTTGAATAGAAGTGGTTGTTGAAAGCATATTCTTATTATTCGATTTCGTTTCTGTGTTGGTAGGCATCGCTCACTGCCATATAGAATAGAAGCTTTTTTTAAACAGATTTCTGTAGTTGTTTCATCGCAAATACTGTTTGGTTGCATGCACTGGTTTAGTGGGTCAGATCTCGAGGTCGATTCCAATCAATGCATGTACAATGATCGAATTTTCCGATTGTGCAGGAATAAGTGCTGATAACTAATGACGTGGCCGGATTTGAAGTCTCCACCAGTAATGCTCAATGGCGCTATATCTACCGAAGTCTGGCGTTGCGAATCTGCTTCTTTATAAAGCCTGCTACTTACGGGCATTTTTTCATTGAAAATAAGATTACCTTTTCTTTCAAGTCAGTTGCGCAGAAAAGCTTTTCCAACTTTTGTAAATAGATTCTTTGTAAGCCTTTTATCTCGTTATATACAGTGGCGCAGCTCTGTTGAATTTGTTCTGGAATCTTTTGGAAGTCATTGGCAGTTTGCATCAACTCACGCATTGTGTAGTTTTAAAGCAAAAACTGCATTTGTGTCAGTAAAAGATCAGGTTTGTTAAATTATCACATTTCAATATGTTGTTCTCTTATAATTTAAAATTAGCGAATGGCTAATTCCTGAGTAAGATTTAAGAGGGCACCTCAAATTCCTCTAACTAAGTGCGTCTTTCTAATTTTGCAGTCTTTAAGTTATTTATCCTCTAGCATAATGTATGAAAATTAAGCTTTGTTTAATGTTCACATTGGGTAGAGGGCTTGAATCGATCAACACCACTAACATGAAATTCGAATTCTGTTGCCGCCGGTTTCAACCAATAGGTTTTTCTATTACGATCAATCAATGTGTAACGCTGGTCATCGAATCTATGATCATTAGCTTCATGGCTGAGTATGTCAAGTTCTGCTCTATCGATGAAGATTGTTATTGTCCGACACTTTGTGACAAATCAGTCCTTGTTTACTTATGCTCTTACTCATAAAAGAATACACTTTGGTCAGTTTTTTTTATTTTCTTCACCAGGCTCTCCTCACTTATCCTCGTTCATCTTCGGCCATTCATGTCGGGGGCAGTGGTGCTGATGCTTTGGATCAACGCTCCTTAGAAAGTGGAACAGCTAGTAGTAGCATCAGTAGTGATTGGACGACTCTCAATCAAATGGGTAAGGCACTGTGTTCACGTCGAGGAAATAAGGATATTGATCTCTTTGCCTCCTCTTCAAATTCTAATGATGGCGGCGCATCGAATTTATACTCTGCAAGTAATCTCACTACAAGGGATGGTAGTAATGGCGGAAATTGCGGAGCTTCTGTTTGGGGGAGAAGGAATGCAGTAGGAGGAATCCAGGAGAAACGAGGCTCTACTCCCCTCATTCGAGCAAGAAAAAGTCCGACACCTGTATCCAAAGTGGTTAGATCTAATAACAATGCCGCGCTCTTTGAGGTTGGTTCGTAATGATTGCTTTTTTCGGCTATGCTGATTTTCAGACTCTTTGATATGCTTTCATTAATGTCAATTCCAAAAGTAGTTTCCTTCATCTCCAAATCCATTTCCATCTTTCATCTTGATTAAAAAATAAATTTTCAAGTCAATTGAGATATAAAGTCATCTGCGAGTTTGTAGAACAGCAGTCAGCGTGCACTTTTACAACTTCCTGTCTTATCTATGCATATTCAGTGGAGTGTTAAATGACACCAGATCTAGTCAGTAAAGTTACTTTAGTAGCCTGATCAAGATATATTTTGCGAATCAGAATCAGAAGATTGGGTTGAGTTTGGTCAAGGGTATATATATGTATTGCAACGAGCTTCACATTGTCAAAATTAATCATATTTTCCTTTTACAGCCTGGTTATGTGCATTCCACCATGTTTCCTCTTCTCCAAAAGTCACAAGACCATGTTCGGGGAAGCGGTGGGGCCACATCTTCATGCGCCTCTTCTGCAGCAGTGACCCCAGCCACAGCGAGTCCGGATATTGACGCCATGATTACTGGTAGAGCAGATGTCCGACAGCTCTCTTCTTCCTCATTGAGTAGTGGTGGTGGAGGTTTACCCCATAACCATGGAGGGGGAATTTGGCGACCATCACGCTTGTATTCAATGTACGGACCTTCCCATCAACCGTCTCAGCCACCTGGTATCATCACGTATGCTGAAAGGCCAGTTCATGTGGATGAGAATAAGGAGGCTGCAAAGTCAATCGTAAGTGTCCGATTCGCTTTTATGTAACTCCCGTATATCGGTGACAACGATCAACGTACTCGTCTGTCAAGCCAGAGGTGACAATTCCAGTGCCCATGGAAACACATTAATGATGCGGTTCTCATAAGAGTAGCCTTTGAATATCTTTCCCCTAATCAAGTTAAGTGGTGTTTCTGTTGTATACATGGAATTTTTTAAATTATAACCCCCATATTGAGGCAGGGAAGCCCTATTCCTTCTGCCATCTAAACCAGCTGGAACTTTGGTATTTAGATGAGGAAATTGGGATAATAATAGCCACCCCTCTCAATTTTTATATCATCTGTTTACTGAACGAAGAGGTCAATCAATTGATGAGTCGTCTTTGAATTTTTTACCGATGCATGACTTTTACACGAGGATTCGTTGACGCTGAGGCTCCATGTCCACGCTTTCTCTCTTGCACTTACCTCCTAATTGTGGTTCATGTTCAATAACATAATAATTGGATCTTTCATTAGATTTAAAAACCTTATTTCAGCTTCCCTTTTACAGCATTTTGGTATATTTAATATTGCCCGATTTCGGTCAATGGGAACTGACATCATTTTGACCAGTATGTCATCTTCCATTTGAACTTTTAAATGTAGATTTGTTCTTTACTTTTGTACTTTCATAACAGGCATTATTAAGTTTCGTTATCTACCTTTCAGCAGTACTTTAAATGACCCTCACCTTAGTTAAACTGTATAGAATGACTAGTTTGGCTAATGCTCCTGTTAATCTTGCTCGAATCCTAATCGAGTTTACGTTTGGTCTTAGAATCGACTTGGAGATAGAATGAAATTGTATTACTTTTCATCTTGCAACTAGATAATGAAAGGATCATGGAGCCTCAAATTTCAGGGAACTCGTTTGCTTTTGTCCTACTGTGGATTAGTATCACCCGAGGGACTGATTATTGAGATTCCAACTTGTAATGTTCGACTCCTCCTTCCTACGGACATTGTTTTTCTCCCTTGATTGATACGTTACCTCATGTTAAATGATTTGGGTGGTAGAGCAGGGATTCGTTTATAACCTTTGCCAATAGATTGGTTGAACAATACTTTCTCCAAGTAAGGTTATATCGTATTCCAGAACAGCTAATATTATAACCATATATTGCGGAGGTTTTAAGTGATAGAGCATTTCCCCATCACTTGTTCGCTGTACTTCGGTTTTGTTGTGCAAAGCAACCCAAATTTGCGCAGTTTGTGAGCTATTTTCCTTACCAGGTGCCCGTGTTTTGAATAAAAACATTCCTTCGGTGTCATTAATGCGGGTGTTATGCAACGCCACCCCCCCCCCCCATTTCCACACTTTCCATACTATCACTTCTTTGATGTCTGCTGTTTTGTCGTACTCAGTGACTAAAATGCTATTACTGTAAGGGTAAACAACAAAGCGGTACTGAATTCTCACGTTTTCACAAAAATAACATCCCATGCACCATTCTAAGAATATTTTGCCTTCGGTATGTTAAGAAAAGTCGTTTTTGTAGTTTGATTGATTTGAAAGCAGCTCAAAATTTGCAAATTTTCTCCTAGAAAACATACATGGTTATCCGCATACTCACGTGTGATCCTGAAGTCAACTAATATCACATTTTAAGCTACCGGTTAGTTAAGTCTTTGTGTGACCCTTATCGCTTATACGTTTGAAAGCTTTTCACTCATTTGTATGTGGAATTTTAGCGGAATTAATGGCATAGTCGTTGGTTTGTCTGCTACGGTTAGCATTGAAATAACTCTTCCACCGTCATTTTAGGACTTGAATGATAGGAATTTCGGTTGTCCTACCTTTTTGGAAGGGTCTTTCAACGCGATTCCAATCTTTAATTAATTATGATACCAAAATTTTATTAATTCTAAAGATATGCACATTTCTTATAATTATCACAATCTTGCCTTTTTCTTTTCCACATTCCTGTTTTATGGCGGTTGCAGTAACTTGCAAATATAATGATTTTCTGATGAAATTCGCTCTGATGGGATCAAAGTATTTAAACAATCGAATTCTTTTATGGCTTCCACTCATTATTGACGTTTTCCGTGGTATCGGACAAGTTTAATAGTGTGGAAGCGAGCTAGTTGAATAAAAGAGGAAAGGAGTGAGGAGGTGGGGGGGGGGGGGGGGGGACNCACGTGATGGTGTTCGAACTTCAGTTATCCTTATTTTACTTCTAGATACAACGAGCGATCCATTTCCTTATAGCAGGTATTGTTCAATGCTAAAAACTTTGGATCAAATATCTCCTGTGTGATTTCATATCAGCCATTTTCTTCAACGACTACTGACTTGTTGATTTAATTGAATGGTTGTTCATACGGCTTTGATTAATTTGCAGCTTTTCTCAGCTAAGAACGTGTTTATGAGAATGGAGTTGATATTTTTCAATAAACTGGACCTTAGTATTATTCCATTTTACAGTACTAATTCTAAAACGCTTTTCCTTAGATTGCAATTCTCTCAAAGACTAAGAACATCCAGGAGGCAACTGATCAGTTGGCTGACAAGGAACTTCTTTCTAAATTAAACAAGGAGGTTATTTTGAAGTGTATGCTTCTTCTCTGTGATGGTATGTCGAATAAATCTTCTCGGAATACCCCCTTCCTCTTTAAAGCATTAATTTTTTTCACAAAACAGTTTCTTCGAAGCCTATAAGTACTGGTCTGGATCTTAATAGCAAACGTGCAGCTTGTCAATTCACATCACTTCTCCTTTTTGAGAGTAAGCATCGAGAGTCCCTTACACCATCTCTTGAGAATTCTTGGTCTCTCATGCTTCAGCGACTGTCTGCCACCTCGTCGAAAACAGCTCCTGCTTTTCTGGCTGCACGTCTCATTTTGACCGGTCAACTCAGTCTAGCTAAAGTGGCTGAACCCCTGACCGCTGGTCGTCATTATCCACTCTACCTCCTCACACTTCAACAACTTGGCAAGATGGCAGATTCAAGTTCGGCACCTGGGGCTTTCTTGCTTGTAGAAGAGAACGACAGAGTGGCTGACGATGGAGAATTTATCCCAGAGGGAGTCGATTTTCTTGAGGGTTGCCAGGAGGAAAGGAGAAGGAAATTGATGAAGTTTTTGGGGAGTTGGGTGGTACTGGAAGAGATGCTACCAGGTGAGTCTTTTCCTTGCTGTTATATCAACGTTCTTACCTTATTCTATCTGAAGTTGTAATTGTGCAACCAGTCGACAATTAACAGATTTATTCATTAATATCAGAAGAGAAAAACGTCTAATTGAGGTCTGCTTTGTGTCATTCATTTGTGGAAAATTCAATTACTAGTTTGACACGATGAGGTAGGTCCTTGAATAAAGGTCTCGCCAGAGTTGGATTAGTGTCTAACCGGACAGCTAATCAGTCTCATCTATCAAAGCTATAACTGAAGAATTTATCAACCATAATAAAGAAATTTAGAGTTTCAAGCTTTTGCCATGTTTCTACTTGATCTGAGTAGCTTTACCCCACGAGCATGTTTATGCGATAATGCGCAATAATGTTTTTAGGCTTAATCTAGAGAGTTAGTTTACTTTATTACGTCTGTATTCTTTTATTCTGTTGTGTGACAATGAATTTATCTTTCAGAGCGTATTATTTCAGAGTTGCGGAAAGTGACAATTTTTATTCATGTTGAGGCGCGCACCTATGCACAAAGTACAATAGATCGGACCTACAATGTGGAGAGATGGGTTGAAGTAGGGGAATAAAATTTAGAGCATTTTATCTGAATTCCCTAATTATTTGGATTGTCCGCTGTTTCAAAGGTTGGTCTTGGCATATCCTTGCAGTTGCCTCTTCATATCAGTAATTTTATACCAACGGGGGGGGGGGGGCTGGGGGAGTTTTCATTTAGCCCCCCCCCCAAAAAATGTATTTTCATTCCCCATTTTTGCGAACCTGATGCCACGAGTCATAGTTTTACATGGCATAATCTTGAGTAGGTTTTGAACTCATTGGCAGAAATAATTGTGATGGCGTTTAGTGAAGATTTTGTACTTGAAAATAAACCACATCTTTTTTATCGTGAAGTACTCACTCAATCATTGACTGGTCTTACGTCACCGCTTTTGACAACCTTCTGGCATTCAATAGCATGGTAAGATTTTGAGTTGCTGGTTCTATTAAAGCCAATTTTTTGGTCTATTTGTCGGCCTATCTCATTTTGGAGATGTTTTTTGTATGTTAGCTTTCGTTGCTGTTACTTTCGTATGGTGATGATGTTGACGATGATGATGATGATGATGATTTTATACCTCATTCCTAACACATCTCTCGCTGGGAAAATAACTTATGTTACCTGCTATAGTATTTTAATAATATGTGATCGTCATTAGGGAGCTGGTGTGTTAACTACTCTTTAGGCATTAAAGTCATAAATCGTCTCTATCTAATGCTTCATTAAAATAGTAGACAAGTTTATATCACGCACGTCCTAGAACATTAATACGTGGTAATAATATCTGGGCAGTGATGCCATAGCGTCAACGTACGCCTCCATGAAGTCAGAGTTCACGAGATCAATAATCATCGGTGGACACACACCCAAACCGCACTGTTCAAGGCGTCTATTATCGGGAAAGCTTCGTGACGCCATCCTTCTATGGTAAATAAATGCTGAAAATGCTCTCCCAGATAGGCTTGGGAGTTATGAAGGCTTAATTCAACGAAATTTTTCGGTGAAAATATGGAAGCAGATTGATTAAAAATCCCTGAAATCTTTTTGTTCTATAACTTTGATTTCTGATTTCCTTATGTCTGATTCATGCATTGAACTACGGCAGTTTATGTCTATGTTTAAACAAGTGTATTTTTGTTTGATCATAGGGAAGTGTCTTTCAAATAACGAGTTAACATGAAGTAGTCTAAATATGGAAAGTGACGGGGAGGACAAATTTAACGCCCGGTTTTATTAAGGTTCTAATTTTTTTCCCATGTCCTTTACAAATCTTGTAGCTTACCGACTCATCTTGTTGTGTTAAAAACTGCTATTCCATCTTTCAAGCTTGTTGGCTGCGTCTTCCTAACTTACCCAGAAAATGGCCCGTTAATATTGCCTATTAATTGTTTCTCAATTAATTACTCTTTGGTCTTACGTATTGTGTAGGCCATTTTCACTTTTTCTTATCCTCCCACTTGTGTGTCGATACAAGTCACTTCTCTCCCAGCAATTTTTCTCCCCGCGCTCTTTGTATCTGATAGGTCGCCCTCTTCCCTTCACTCCCCCCCCCGGCTCCCATTTTGCCGAGTTTTTACTTTATCTGCCAAGGGCATTCCGAAACTTTTCCTAATGATTGTAGGCGCATTAGTAAATTAATATTGTTACTTGTTTTCTTGTCGAAAGGAATCAATGCAGGCATAAATCTTGCCTATCTCTTGTCTTTCCAATTTTATACAATATTGCTCAATGTCCATTTTGAAAGGTGACAGATGTTGAGCTTGGAATTAGGGAAGACTGTTGTGTCATCACATTTTCGGTTGTCTCCAATTTTGATAAGAACTTTTTTATAATGTCTTTTTTCTTAGATGTAGAGTGGTTTATGCCTTCATTTCGCAATTGTGAAATTCAAAGTGATGAGGAAGATCACCAGACTCCATTTATGTTTTAGACTCGATAAAGCAAATTTAATCCAACGAAAACAATGAAGGGGGCAACTGGCTAAGTGAGTAAGAAGTTTTAGCTGGTGACGTTTGATCGATTGAGCTAATAAAGGAGTGAGAGTGGAGGAGGTTGGGAGAGGTGGGGGGGGGGGGGGGGGGGGGGGTTGTGCGCACAAGCTGATGTACGATAAGAGTGTCAGAAAGAATGAAAACATTACGATTTTTTCTAACCATTTATATTTTTGGGCTTCAGAGGGCAGTCAATCTCCAACGCAGATCCTTGAAATCCTTGAAGAACGCGACATCGATTTCTTCGTCCCGCATTTACGTCTTGTTGTCAGAACCCTCTGTCCTCTTCTTACCTTCGGCTACGACCTCCGTACTTTTGCCGACCATCTTCCTACTCTTAAAGATCACTTGAGTACTGAGTTAGTGCATGCTTTAATCGGAGCGGCCTACGAACGTGTCTGGTTGTCTAGTTCCAAGATTGAAATCTCTTGTGTCAGTGAAGAGGAATTAGAGGATATTGAAGAGGCCGTGTGGCGGGAAATGATGGAAGAAGGAAAGTTGGGGAAATGTGTTCCGGATGATAGGCAGCTAGATGTACTTCACGCTCTTCAGGTCTTTTGGAATGACAAGGGAATGCCAAAAGGTATGACTGATGATCAATTTTGATCTGAAACTTTATATCAAGTTCCCAAAGATTCGACTTAACTACCGCCATAGAAATTATGTCAATGCACTTCCTTAATCATGTCTTATCTTTCTTTCTTTAAACAGGTTTTATGTTGCGATGTTTCCAGAATCTCTATCATTTCAGTTTGGTGGATAAACCAGTTTTCTTTGAATGGCAAAAGGAGGAGAATCAAACCTACCCCGTCAAAGGGAAGGCTCTTTTCGAGGTATGTGTTTAAGTAAAAGTTTGATGGAAACAGCTTTCATCTCCGAAAATCTTTTTGATGATGATATCACTTAAAGGTCATGTGTTTTGGTGGCGATGGTGTAGAGGCAACGTTCTTTTGCTTTATTACACGTTGGCACCTCAGGTGTAAGTGGACAAAAACACATGGTAGTTTTATTTTATCTCAGAGCTTTTTTCTCAATGGCTAGGGATTTCCTTTAATCAGTCGTCTAAAATACTACCCCCCCCCCTTTTGGCCACAAAATTTCATTGTTGATTAGTTCTATAGGGGATTTGTCATTTGGGGGGGGGGGAATCTTGTGTAATATTTTTAATGTTTATATGTAAACCGACAAGATAATTTATGAGTTTGTGATACTACTGATTTCCCATAGTTGGACCTGAAGTCACTTCACTACGATAATGGTGGGTGGGGGGGGGGGGGGGGGGTTAGTCGAGCACCCAGTCAATCCTATTGCCCCCTTTGTACATACAATGAGGTACTTTCTTTGCAAAGTGCATGAGAGGAGGTTTTCTTGTTAAGTTAAGCGGTTTCGCTCCCTCGGGCTTTGCATTTTCAGCAGAGCAGCAGAAGTCAGTCATTGAGAATGGGGATACATTAATTGTGATAAGATCCACTTATTTTCTCCAAGATATAACAATTTTACTGGCCATCTTACCTCTCTGTAGAGGTAGAGTGGTTGACAAAATTTATCTTGACTTGAGGGGGGGGGGGGGTTGGCTACCTAGTAGTAATGATGTGTGTCCATTTGCACTACCTAGATGTATTTGTGCACAGCATTAAATACGTGATTTGGGAAAATGATAGAGAGGTTTGTTTTCTTGTTGGAACGGTTATTTTTGCGTCTTAGCCTCTCTGCCAATGAATGAAAGTGGACATTGTTTTTTCAATAGATCCTTTCAAGAGGCTCACACTGAACCTATTGTTAGCATTGAAAATGTCATTCTTGTATGATGCCGCTTTTGGAGATGGAGGCCAACATTTTAAGCTATTTCGCCACGACAGTTAGGTCAAACCAAGGACTTCTTGGCGTATTAGTTGATTTGTCCTATCCATTTTTTGCTACACAGCCATAGTAGATTCAAATGATCACGAAATTATCCCTTTGCAATGAATTTAAATTACTGAACGTGCCTGTTATCCTTTTGACTTTTGTCGTGTCTAGGTTATGCGGTGGCTGAAGTGGCTTGAAACAGTCACAGAAAGCGAAGACAGTAGCGTTGACAGTGATGACACTTCTGAAGAAACTAATTCTCCTCAAGGCAATCATATCGCAGGTTGTGATCTCAAGAAGGAGCCCAATGAAGCAGTAAGTGAGAAGACTAAATCATTCACACTAGCTTTGAATCATTTCGTCAATGACGGTGGAGACAATTTTAACGAAACGACGAAGACGACGTCTGAGAACTCAGAATAACACGCCAAATACTTCTTACCTAATCGACTAATTATTTGTTTAAGGAAAAACAAAAACGAACAGAATGACCCCACCCTTGTTCCTTCTTCATCCTTGCGTCCTTTCTGTAGTTGCTTTTATTATTTCATCATCGTCATTTTACTCTTCTTACCTCCAAACATGCTTTGCTATTACTGCCAGTCCTCTCTCTCACACACACTCTCTCTCCCTCTCTGTCATTTATTTAAAGTATAATGAGGTGATCCTATCTTTGTGGTTTACTAAATGGGGCCTTTGTTTTTTTGCGATAACTTTAACTGGGAGATATATTTGCCTGAAGGCTACTATATGGTGCTTACCATTTCATATGGGCAAACAAGAGTGATCAAAGTACAAGCTGGCATGGTGATGCAGGGTTTCCAATGTCCCTCTCCATGTGAGGCCAAATAGTAATTTGAATACCACCTGTTTGCTCTTGTTGTCTATCTTGTACCTAGGACCTAAGTGTATGGTAACATTTGAGTTAATGTCAATATTTATTTCCAATGGCAGGCGTTTTGATAGATATCATTAGCCCTTTAATTGACTTCGGGCTTCACAGAGAAGAGGAGGAACATCAAGGTGACAAAAAGTCGAGGGGGGGTGGGTTGGAAAGAATAATCATTCACAGTTGTTAAAGAGACAGGCAGACACAGGTAGAGGAAAAGGGTAAGATGAGTACTATGGAATGGGTCGAATATGACATGCAGGTTGAAGTGAGAAGTCGACTGCCGGTTTGTAGACTTTTGTCGTATGAGTATACGTTGCTCAGGGTGCACCATGTGGAGGTAAGTCTATTGCACACCCCATATGCAATACATCAGTTGGGCATCCGAAAAAAAACTACTTGTGGAATGGACGAAATTGGAAAGATTGGATGACGAGGCTACTTCCATCTCCATAAATCTAGTGCTGTTAGAAGTGCTTGCGTGAAGCTTAATAGAGTCATTTGCGAGATCGAACACTTTAACTTAGTTAGTTACCCATTGAGCAGAACGACCAGCATTACGGGGCAAGTTTACTTTAAAAGGAGTTGTACAACTCGAGTTTCTCGTTAAGGAAGTGCTATAATTTTACCCCAATATACAAAAAATGAGGGCAAGATGTAAGCATCTAGTCTTATTATGATAATTTCAATGTGTGGTGAAATTGAAGGAAACTATTTCCAGTTTACCTCTTGGGTAGTGATGAATCTGGTGGAAAAATACATCACAAACTTAGATCAGCTTTCGGGGGTGTTTAATTGTTCTTATCATTCTGACTGCTCTTCGGTGGACCTTGAACTCATGAACCTCAGTGGGATGGTTATGAATTCTAGCAACTGAAATTAAACCCTATGCGGAGTCTGGAAGTTGATCCAGATTACCATCGGCTTATTACTCCCTCATTAATAATTTCCTATCGGGAGAGGGAGAGCGGATTTCGATTGTAGGTGGACAACCTTGATTATAATCCGGTAATATTCTTCTAATTGGATGGAGAGAGAGAGAGCACTCCATGCGCGAAGAGATGATTAAGCTGCAGAAGTTTTGAGTCCAAGATCTTCAGGTGCTATTTTTAGATAAGACGTGGATGCTGAATAAGATGGGTTTTATGGTGCAGTTAGTTGGACCACCAGAAGTGATGAATAAGAGTAGCGAAAAAAGGGAAATCCGTTTACTTAAACCAATAATTCAATCAAATTGGAAGAGCGACAAACATGATTGTTGTTAAGCCACTGTGAATATCTTGACCTACAGTATCTTCAAAGAATTAGTAATTAAATACGCTAAAGTGAACCTTATTAAATGAATGGAGTGGGGTCCGTAGGAGAAACACAGTTGAAGAACATTTTTTATTGGTAAAAATTCTGTATATTCTTAAGTGTCATAGGAGAGAATTAGCATATAAACGTCATTTCTTGGAAAAAACGAATAGTTGCACATTTGTTTTTCAGCACATCTTGTTTAAGAGCAAATAATCTCAAGTTATGAAGTACAGCTTACAACGACTTGTTAATCCTGAACTTTAAAGATGCCAATAATATCACCAAAAATTTTTCAAGCATTGTCAGTTTTGGCCGAATTCATAATTTTCACACCTCAGGCATGTTAAATGCGAAATTACTAAGAGCAGTCGAATACAGCAGTTCAAATGCCAACCATCAAATTTTCTAATCCCACTTTACTGACAAGGTGGAACTGATTGCAAATTTAGCTACGAAGATGGCGTTTTTATCACGACCCAAATCTCCCCATTTCACAAAGCATTTGCTGTACTCCTCTATCCCGACTGTATCCTTCATAGAACCCCCTGTTTTGATTTCCTGATAGTTAAAAAGAGATTTAAATTTTATTTATTTTTAAGAAATAATCCAAATGAAAGATTATTATCTCAAGTGCCGGGCTTTATGATATTTTTCATTTGACCTTAAACTTTGACCTCAGATTTCCCCATGGGTGGGGGTACATATATAGCAGTTCATTAATTGTCTTCTTGCTTCCCAGTGTCTCTGGCTTTCCGTCGTTGCCTTTAGGGCTGGACATCGAATCAGGTGGGACTTCTCCATTTCCTCCTGTAGGTTACATAGAGTACATGTGAGTTGAGTGTATACTCCCAATCTGTGAAGGTGTTTTGCCAAGCAATCGAGTCCGATACGTTGTCTAAACTCAGCAACGGCTTCGATTCTTGGCCAGTCGGCTATGTCGGAGAGTGCCACTGTCCTGATTAAGGCCTTCATTGTGTGGAAAGACATCGGCCGGTCTATGCCTTACAAAATTGTTGTACAATTCTTAGCAAGTGTATCAGCAAGCTCATTGCCTTTAATGCCACAGTGACCAGGAATCCACTGTAGGACCACTGTTTTGTTTTTCTCTCTCAGCAGCTCATAGAGTTTTTTACATTCGTATATCTCAGCTGATTTGGGCGGTTCTCTGCTTCCAATTGAGTTTATTGCTGACTGTGAGTCCGAAAGTATCACCGCTTTGGTGAATTTCGTATCCAGGCAACATAATTGGCACAGTGCTATCCTAATTGTCTCCATTTCTCCTTCATAAGCGGATCTATTGTGTCCCACTGCTGCGTAGAAAGAGAAGAGTTCAGAATAGATACCTCCACCAACGTTTGCTTGGTTTTCTATGTATGACCCATCAGTGAAGACTTGGAGCCATTGATCTGCAGGATAGTTGATATTGATTGTCTCAAGGGCCAGTGAGCGCATTCGTTCTGGAGGGGTGTTTGCTTTCCTGAAGTAGTCAAGCAGTTGGGTGCAACACGCTACATCAGTGTCTGCTAATGGGTTCATGGGGAGAGAGAGGCTTTTTGGATTGTCATCGATTTGTAATTCTTTCTTCAGTTCTATGGCTTTCTGAATCAGACTAGATTGCGTTTTCAAATGTCTTGGTCTATTCTCATAGGTGCTGCAGAATTAATCCATGGGAATGCGCAGTAGCTTCTCATACAGGATCAAGGCCTTTTCTTTGATGAGGGAACATATTGTAGTGCTTCCTGTAACTAGGAGCATTGCATCAATGGGTGTTGATTTTATCCCTCCAGTAATTAGTCGTAATGCTTGGTTGTATGCCTTCTCGAGTGGTTTGAAAGTCACCTCTGTGGCTGTAATGAGTGGCTCACAGCAATACAACATTATTGGCTGAATAAACATCTTGTAAGTGGTGTTGAGAGTTGAGCGTGTACAGCCCCATACACTACCAGCAAGACGCTTCAGTGCATTCAGTCTATTGGAGACTCGTTCTGCTATTTTAGCAATGTGACTTTTCTACGTTAGCTTTGTGTCAAACGTCATTCCGAGGTAAATTTCACGGGTAGTATCCTTGTGCCTTAAATGCGGGTTTAAGCTGTGACGGGCCAAAGAAAAAGTTTGGAATGCAGTTTTCGCGGTGTTGATAACACTTCCATTGTTGTCGCACCAGTTAGCTAGTAGTTTAAGTTCATAATTTAGGNCTATGTATGTATCCTTGTAGCCCCATCTGGTGGAATGGGCGTTGAAGTCTCCTTATACTATGGTTTTGTGTGAGATGTTCAGAAAGTCAAGGTTGAGACAATTCTGGGGTGGATTATAGACTGCATATACCTTGAAGTGGTTTTGATATTTCCAAGCATTTAATCTGATTGTTTCACATATATCTTGTTTCGAGCTCACACTCTTGATTAGATCGTAGTGTGAGGTGAGGCCTTCTTTTACTCCAGTTAGAATTCCACTTGCAACTTGCCGGTATTTAGGTTGAAGGTACAGGATGTAACCTGGGAATTGGTAGTACTTCAGTTTGTCATCCGAAATGTTTGCTTCCATAATTGTGAAAATGTCTACATCATAGATTTGTAGGATTTACTGTACTTGGATCTTTTTGTCCTGTGACATCCCTCCAGCATTCCACTGGAAGATCTGAAGACGTTGTGATTCGCCCTGACGAGGACGATTTCTCTTATAGCCTTTTTTCTGCTATTTTAGCAAAGTGACTTTTCTACGATAGCTTTGTGTCAAACGTCATTCCGAGATAAGTGAACTCATCCTTTGTGTCAAACGTCATTCCGAGATAAGTGAACTCATTGATTTTTTCACGGGTAGTATCCTTGTGCCTTAAATGCGGGTTTAAGCTGTGACGGGCCAAAGAAAAAGTTTGGAATGCAGTTTTCGCGGTGTTGATTAAGAAAAAGTTTGGAATGCAGTTTTCGCGGTGTTGATAACACTTCCATTGTTGTCGCACCAGTTAGCTAGTAGTTTAAGTTCATAATTTAGGGCACTTTCCGTCCTCTCCTAAGCGTTTTTTAGGGCGGAATACTAAATTAATTTCCAAAAATTTATTTCTGCAGGAAATTCTTATTATGTTAATATCTACAAATTCTTTTATCTGAGTACCATTTGCTTAAGTGAATCACTTGTCTGCATCAACATCAGTACGCATGAAATGTAAGCATATGCAAGAACAGGTCCAATTCTACCAACCACATATTTTCTCGGTGATTAATGAGGTGATCGAATTAGAATTACCGGCTTCTATTTCAAAGTTGCATAATTTGTTAGCATTTACTGCTTAGGCAGGAAACACAAGCATAGCGGAATAAAGGACAATATTTATTTATAACAAATGGCAGGCGTTTTGATAGTTATCATTACCCCTTTAGTTGACTTCGGGCTTCACAGAGGTGAGGAGGAACATCAAAGTGAGAAGTATTCTTCACAGAGGTGAGGAGGAACATCAAAGTGAGAAGTATTCAGGAGGGGGAATAGAAGGGTGTTTCAAAGATGTAAAAGAAACAGACACTTAGGCTCAGAAAGGGTAAGATGAGTAGTGGTAGAGGTCGAATATGACATACAGTGGGGGTGATGGTTGTTTGAAGTGGGAAGTCAAACGCCGGTTGATAGACTTTTTTGCTGTATGAGTATACGTTGCCCAGGGTGCACCACGTGGAGGTAAGTCTATCGCACACCCCATAAAGGACAATATAGAATTTAAATACCTTTGATTGAAGTATTGAGCCAATATGCTGACCTTCAATTCGCTTCAATGCCGATGGAAGTAACTCAGGCCCAGATTAGGCTCACCAAATGGAGTGTTGATATCTCAGTGATGATTATTTGATGCACTCTCTCAAGAATTAATTGACATTTTCTCACCTAAGTTCGCTAACAAATGAGTTGGAAAATTCGGTGGAGAGTAACGCGTTGATAGCGTGGGAAACGACTGTAAACACCAATATTGATATAACAAACCAAAGAGTAATGTGGGGCTTCAAATTTACCACTAAATCAAAAGGTATAAAACGTAAGTAAGTTCTTATTTGAAATTCAATCTCGATTAGTCACTTCAAAATTTCTGGTGTATGCTAGACTTATTTGAATAATACGAGTGCTCTCGCATTTTCATAGGAGGTAACTTAAATTACATTTATTTATTTATTTATTTCAAATGGCAGGCTTTATGATATTTATCATTAGCCCACTTAAATTACATTAATTTGCATAATTTCCCATTTCATACTGGCGGTTCTATACCGGATGCCTGGAAATGAAATAAATAGACGTCGTCCTAAACTTATCTAACCTTGGGTATGAGCTTTCTTTGTTATTTATGCCCCTTTAGTAGACTTCGGGTTTCACAGAGAGGAGGAACACCGTGGTCAAAACAGTCGAGAGAGAGAGAGAAACAGAAGAGTCATTCACAGATGTAAAAGGGACAGACAGACACAAAGGTAGAAAAAAAGGTGTGGTGAGTACTGCGAAAGTGGTTGAACATAACAACAGTGGGGTCACGGTTGTTTGAAGTCAGAAGTCAACTGCCAATCAATAGACTTTTTTGTCGTAAGAGTATGCGTTGCCTGGACTTCACTGCGTGGAGGTAGGTCTATCGCACATCCCAGTTCAGCCTAAATAGTAGTTACGACAACGGCGAAACACATGATGAAAATATCTAGGCCACTCCATGGGTGACTAGTAGCTTTCCCCTATGCGTCATTAATTTGTCAAGAGTCTGGAAAGAAAATTTCCTAAGTACAGACCACTCGACTTTTGGCGAAATCAAATAATTTAGCCTGTTTTGAAGACACTAAAAGAACTAAGAATACGTACAGGATTTGTACATTAACTAACGGTAGATAAGGTTTTGTAATTGAAATCATCATAAGTATAAGCAAAAAACTGTATATTTAAAACTAATACAAGCTAAATGGTTCTTTGCAAGAAAGGCGAAATTAGTTTTGCTTCCGAATTTCTATCTATGAAATGAAATACGACTTGTTGGGACATCCTTTGATAACTGCGAATTTCGACCCGAACTCCTGTGTAATCCGTAGGTGATATTAACAACATTTCTATGCCTTTCATTCATCTCTCTCTCCCTCTCGCTCGCACTTTGGGAATGGCAATATTTCAAAGTTTAGCGTTCTTTGTTCCTTTTATGCGCATACAAATACAAAAATCGATAAGTTATTTGTTCCATGGAGCTGTTATTAGTATTGCCAAGATTAACTACTTTTTTTCAAATTCTTTTCTTATTAAAATTCAAGGCTTTCTTTTTTAAATGAAGTTTAAAACTAATTTGATCGATTGAATTTATTTCTAGTTTAGTCATTTCAGCTCAATTTAAATAGGAAAACACGACAGTACAACAAGACCACCAACAATTTTAACTCCAATTAAATCGAAAGTTGGCTTTAGAGGATGCCTTACAGCGCGTTCCATTGGGAAATTCTCATACCTTGAGAGAAAGTACCTAATTTATGACTTCTTCTTTACTGATCAAGAAATGGTTCCTAGTTCGGATCCCAAAGTGTCCCTTCCATCAAGTCCAATTCCTCATGGAATTCCTACTTGCTATTGGCGAGGAAAATCTATTGAGAATCGAAATTATTAATTTCGCTGTAAGAGGAGGGAATCATTGGAAATAGCTTGGCAGCCAGAATTCACTTAATGACATAATAACTATAATTCAAAATCGATAGAATATATTCGATCTGAGGCATATAAAAATAAACAATCTTATGTAATAAATATGTTAGATGTATCGTGTCTAATGCAATTCATGGAAATACTTTAGAGACCTTTCTTGGAAAGGTTTCCTAGGTTGCTAATGGACGCTGAACTTGTTCAAACCTCGCCGTTACGTCAGTGAAATCTACGCAAAGGATATGTTTCCATTAGCTAGTTTATTTGTTTACCCATAAATTCCTAGATGTAAAGTGTCACTTATAGAAGAAGTCGAATCTGGAATCTTTGCAGAAGCTTATACAACGTTTGGTCTCTTTTAAGAAATATCTTATCTGCCAATTGGTTGTGCATGGAAGTGCTTGGGAAATTCTATAGAAGTGGAATTTGTCAGGTTCACAATGAATGTTAGAAATCTGCTTTGACATTAGGTTACAATTTGGGAGTCATTCAGATGCCTTTTCATTATTTCACGTTTTTCTACATTTCTATTTTTAATTGGCTAGAATGAAAAAAAATTGAAACAAGATAAAATGGAATCACAATTCTCAACACCCCGGGGTGTGGGATAGACTTGCCTCCTCGTAGTTCACCCTGGGCAACGTATACTCATAAGGCAAAAAAAGTCTATTAACTGGCCGTTGACTTCTGACTTAAAACTACCATCACCCCACTGTATGCCATATTCGACCCCTTTCACAGTACTCATCTTAGCCTTTCTGAGTCTTTGTGTCTGTCTGTTTCTTTTACATCTGTGAATCACTCTTCTGTTCTCCCTCCCAAATTCTTCTCCCTTTGATGTTCCTCCTCCTCTCTGTGAAGCCTGAAGTCAACTAAAGGGCTAATGATAACTATCAAAACGCCTGCCATTTGTTATAAATAAATAAATATTCCCAACACTCCTAAAGAGGGTTATCTTTATTGAAAATACTCGATGCTTTGCCTTAACCGATTTCGCAGGCAGGCCCATTCCGCTTAATCCAGGCCAGCGAAGCGCATTTGCGTTAACGCGCCTGTCTGTCCACACACCACTAACCAATCCCCATTGAGATATTGACCGAGTGCAATGCGCACATACCTAATTAGGTCGATCTGTCCATCGCACTAACTTGTCGTATATAGTGTAGATTGGGGTGGAGGGGTGGGGTGGGGGTGGGGGGGGGGGCAACCTAGATAACACCGATTGCGTTTTTACCACCAAGTCTTGTTTCGTCAAGCCAGTAAGGCATGCCTCCGTCTTTTCGTATTTCCAAGGTAAAGGTTATAGAGAATCTATATTTCTTGAAATTAATCTAGAAAACGAGCGTTAATAAATGTCAAATTTTTGAATTCAGCTAATAGTGTAGTCCTCAAAATACTTTCATTTCTACTTATTGCTCTGTGAGGGCATCGAATGTGCTAGCACTACTCAAGAAAGGCAGGTTTCATTAGGCTCATTGATATAATCCCGAGATTCAATTAATGTTGACGAATATCCAAAATCATTCTTATCAGAAGAAACTTAATTAAAGCTTTCTTTAATTAGAAAATATTTACTTAATCGACCATGTTTTAAATTAGGTCACATTGACCCAAAACCGAACTGATATCGACAGAATCTTATTCCCGCACCTTCTGAAACGCAAATTAGGAGGCTGTCAAAAGGATACTATATTTGTAATCTTGATATGCCAAGTAGAAAAATGACCCAAGAATCATTTATGGTAATAGACTTGTATTAATTTGAAACTGCTGCAATATGTCTACTTATTTTCTTTAAGTAGAAATTTATTTTTTATCCTTTGATTTCCCTTTGGCCTTTTTCCTGTGCGCATGTCCTGTTGGAACTTTGATTTTTCGGATTACTATCATTGTTCTCCACCAAGCTTGGACTTTAAAAATAGCTTCCAGAAGTTTCTGTTCATATTCCTCCTTCTGCCGAATTCTCTCCTGTTCAGCATCATAGTCGAGGACAACTTGATTGTACTCTTTGAAATTCTCTTTCAACGTTTCGTAGTTAATTTTTAGTTTTTCCAGGCTAGTAACCAAGTTTTCAACATCATTAGTTAAATCCTGAACTTTTGTTTGACTCTGAAGATACTTAAGGCGATTTGAATGCTCATCAATTGTGGATAGCATACAACTTGAATCTTCATAGATAACACGTTCTTCGGTATTCAGACGCTGCAAATAGCCCTGCGTCTCTTCAGAAAGGGCTCCAGTCTCCTCATTTCTAATTCTACTGAGCTCATCGGCTCTCTCTTTGTAAGTTGCGTTCAAATAATGAAGCGTCATTTCTGATAACTGACCGGCTTCCTGTAATTCGTGTTTCAACCTTCTGATCAGTTCATCGTATAAGTCAATCTGCTTTACAAAATGTTCCTGGGATGCCGCAATCTTTTCTTGCAGAAATTTGATTAACTGGTCATTATCAATGATGCGTTTCGTTAAATGAATAGGAGAATCAATAGCAGACTTACTCTGCTCGTAATTTAATTTAAGAGACTCAAAGGTGCCGCTTAGATCAATTTCACTTCCAAGAGTTTTGAATACATTGATTTTGGAGCCCAGTTCTGTTAAAAATGCATGAAGATGGCTTTCATCTTCACTCAACTTTCGACAGGATCCATCGGAATGACAAATGAAATCTCCTTGATGAAAGTCGTTGAGTTTCAAGAGGGCATCAATGAAAATTTGGTTCAATTCAGCTAATAAAGCGTCCGACTGTTCATTTTCCGAAAATTTTACCTGAGGAGCCTCGCTTTGACAAGACAATGATTTGTAAAGCATTGAAAATTCTTGAACAGTATCGAAAAAAATAGTTTTTAGGGCCACTCTTAACGATGGCGACAAATCTTGCGTCTCCATTTTTACTTCCTCGAGTGAAGAAATATTAATTCACTAGATTGAGTTCAAATTGCCACTAGACTGCATATGATTTTTTTTTCAACGAAAAATCGATTGAATAAACCATGCTTTATTTAAACGTCGCGTTGTAAACGCATGGATTAATGTTATAAAACTCAATTCTCTTAAATTCCAGACATGATGTTTGTCAATTCCAAAAGAAAATGTCATTTATTTTTCTCAGATTAAGGGGGGGGGGGAAGTTCAGTGCTATTAATATGCATAAAGTATCTTAGTTTATTTCAGGAATGTATTTGCTTGTCACAAGCACGGTCTAGACACTATGCCTATCCCCACATTAGCTCTATTGTGCAATTAGGAAGAGTTTTAAAAAAGTATATTTTCAAAAAACTGCGTAAGTAAACTTTGTACATCTTTTGCCCCCTGTAAATCATTTTACGCTAGACAGAGACAAATGTCTAGTAAGACTGACTTCTAGAACATATTCTAACTCAAATTTCCGAGACTTTTCCATTGACCACTAGCGACCAGTACAGTTCAGTCCAAGCAGTCCGCTGAACATTTTTAGATCTCAGCCTTGGTGACTTGGAAAATGTGCACGTTGACAGCTAAATTTATGGTCCAATATGAGGGGGGGGGGGGAAAGATAAGTTGTTTGTTGTCTTAACTATCAAGAACCCGATCGCGCGAATCATTCTGTGAAAATGTATTGCTATGCAAACAAATAGAAATAAAATTGTCAAACTGAAATATGAGCGCTGAATTAATCAAAATTAAAAAAGGCAAAAAAATAAACATACTAAGTGAATTTGGATTTAATTATTTACTTCATTAAATTATTTATAAAAAAAACGGTAAAATACATAAGTGGTTAATTTGAAGGATGGAATTACATAATTTAAACGCCAATTTGCAAGATATTTCGAGAAGCATGAATATTCTGTAATTTCGAGCAGCACGAAGGAAGAAATAGTTCCTTAGGGCAACTTATAGTGTGGTAGATAAAAGATAATTGAATCCCCATTCACCGGAGAGAAAAGCAGAATATGATGGATTTCTTTCTCAGAAGCCTGAATTGTGATTAGCTTCCATCGTCCTTCTCACATTTGACTAAGCGGAGAGGTTAATTTCAGGTGGATAATGACCTCCAGTGAGCAGATTTACTAAATGTTAGTTTTCAAAAACAAAACGTTACTTAATCAGATGTTTCAAAAGAGGATTTCAAATTCTTGTTCTAACGAACAATACCTTGCAGTGTATTTTCAGCAAGATGGGACACGCCCACATTACCATAGCGAAAGTTAGGTCTTTCCTTGATGAGGTCTTGCCAAACAAGTGGATTGGATGAAGAGGTTTTGTTGAAAATCCTCCCCCGTTCACCAGACCTCACACCACTAGATATTTTTTACCATGAGGTTGCTTAAAAGACAAAGGCTACGCAACGAAATCTGCAACAGTCACTGAATTAAAAGAAGCCATTGAACATGAATGCGTCCGAATTCCAAGGGAATTTTTTTAATGATGTGTGCCATTCCATTGTCTGGCGTTGTCAGCAGTGTCTGGATCAAAATGGACGTCAATTTGAGAAGCAAGCAATAAAAAACAATAAAATTATACTTTTAAGATATTTTAACGCTTTAGAAATAATAAAATTCAAATTGAACGCTACGTTTATAATTATTTTCAATGTGTAAACATTTTTTGGGACACCCTATATATTACTTGTATCTCTCTATATAGCAGGTGCGAATCAGAAAATCATACACTAATATGCAAGGAGAGTAGGAAGTGGGTGACTTGATTTCCGCAAGCAAACTACGCAAACTTTTGATCAAAAGGTGAAATGAAGTGGTGGTTTGTGACAAAGGATACTCAAATAGTTCCCTTAGTAAATTTTCGCTCAAAAAATCATGTATCTGATTGCATTGATTTTCCTTACTTTTCTCTGAGTTTCCATTAAGCACAGGTGATTGCTGCGATATATATATATATATATATATATATATATATTGCTGATCGAACTTAATTCGAAGGAAAATTATCCAATCAATTTCTTCTCCATTTTGTTTTTTTATTGACTTCCAACTACTTCCAATCATTACCTTGTATTCTATAATTGGGAACCTGTTAAATTGATGTACTCCTGTTAAGTGCTTTGTACTCTTGTGAGCTGTATGCCATACTGATAATCAGTGGGATATAATCCACTTCCGCTTTTTAATCAAAAAAAGAAATATCCCACCAGTCGATGTCAATAAGAACTTCTAGGTCATACGTAGGCAATTTCAAATGAAATTCTAATTAGATGGAGAATAAAAAATTTAGAATGTGCTAAACATTCAACGGTAGTAGTGTTTTTATCAGCGTTTGATTATATATATATATATATATATATATATATGCCTTCATTGATTAAAAAGCATTCATTTTGTCAAAAAGCAAATTCATTAAATCGTGTTTTGCATTTAATTAACATATCGACTGAAATTGCGGTATGTGCATTTTTCCCAATTAGTTCGCACAAAATTTAGTAGTAACTGTCAAATAAAAAACTTAATTAATTCTGCAGACAACATTGTGATTTACGCCTTTTCCCGATTTTAGTACTAAAAGTTTCAGTATTTTAGTGAATTATAAAAAATTGTGTAAAATTTATAAATGATAAAAGTTGTACTCAGTTTGATAATTACAAAAGAATAGAGGTAATTATTAGGGCTTTATAGCATTACACAGCCGATTGGATACAATGAAGGAATATCGATGATATTTTGTTTTTTTTCAACATTTTTGAATAGTAAATTGAAAACTTGGGTTTATCACTGTGTAAAGAAATTTTATAATAGTTATGGGAAACTTGACAGTTTAGTGATAGAATATGAGATGAGTTCTCCGATGATAAACCTGTCCTCGGTGCTATATGTGTTGTCTAAATTTAGACCGCATGGAAAACTCTCAGCACCTATATTTATGGTGCTTTATGCTGCTTGCTAAGAGGTAATTGCTCTGGCGTTTATTAAAAATTTATGAAAAAATAAGAAAAAGTATCACGAAGCTGAAAATGGAATCTCATACACACTCAGAGGTCCTCGAAGGTAGGATCGTGAGCTCAGAGACCATCCAGCCAACAACCAATCAATAGTTCTTGCTTAGTTTAACAATTCCTCCATTTTGTTTTAATGAATTATTTCCCCGACTATTAGACATTTTCAAAGTAAATATATCCCGCCTTATACGCCCGTTTCCACTACAGTTACGTGGTTGCTTAGGTAAACTTGAGAGCCTTGCCTAACTAGGAGTCCTTGCCATAGAGTTTACGGGGGAGTTTGTGGGTGTTCATGCGTTCCATTTGGGCATTTTGCAGAAACTGACGGGCGTCAGAATAGGTCACTCCTACCGAGATAAGCTTGTAGAGTGATTTCGACAGCACTAGAAAAACCTCTTTCATACGGGTACACAATTGATCTGATAGGAAAAAATAGCAAGTTAATGTAAAATGTCAATAATATATGTTGTGGAAACTGTTTATTGGTATTTATCCGATTGCCTTTGGTGCTTATACGAGATTATTAAGTGTCTGTTTAAATGTAGATTTCTGTCAAAATTAACGCTGCAACTAAAATTCTATCTGAAATTTTTTTCAACTTTTGTAGCTTTGCTATCACCCGAACTAATAATGAGACACTTGCAACTATAAATTAACCTGATGCTGTTAACATCACTGACTATAATGAGGTAAAGAGTAACAATTTTACCCCAATAATGGATGAGAGCGTATTTGGATGAAAAGTGGATTAAATACAGAGCATACAAACTTGAGTATATATTGGAGACTTTTTAAGTTGAATTTATTATCTACGTTCCAAGGAACTGACATGGGGTGTGCGATAGACTTACCTCCATGTGGTGCACCCTGGGCAACGCATACTCATACGGCAATCACGTGGTGCACCCTGGGCAACGTATATTCATACGGCAAAAACGTGGTGCACCCTGGGCAACGCATACTCATACGGCAAAATGTGGTGCACCCTGGGCAACGCATACTCATACGGCAATAAAGTCTATTAATCGGCAGTTGACTTCTGACTTCAAACTACCATGACCTCACTGTATGTCATAGTCGACCACTTCTACAGTACTCACCTAACCCTACTCCCTACCATTGTGTCCACTCTCTTGAATTTTTCTAACTTTGATTTTTCTCCCCTCTGTGAAGTTCGAAGTCAGCTAAGGGCTAATGATAACTATCAAAATACCTGCCATTCGAAATAAATAAATAAATAGGAACTGACATCATTCAGCGTGACATTCCTTTTAAGGCAAAAGTTTAAACTTCCGCATTTGAACCTTTGGTTTTTTGCGTGTTTAGTTGCCCTGGAAGGTCATTGTATACCTCAATGAGGGATTTAGTTGTCCATACCATTTGGAAGCGATTATCTATCCTATTTCCCAAATATGACTAAATGGTGTAGCGGATTGCGTTGTGCTCAGTAGTCTCAATGGCTAAGTTTCCCCGTAGGGACAGGCACCCTCTACCCCAATGATATATATATATATATAGACTTACCTCTACGTGGTGCACCCTGGACAACGTATACTCATACGGCAAAAAAGTCTATTAACCGGCAGTTGACTTCTGCCATCACACCATCATCACCCCAGTGTATGTCATATTTGACTACTCATACGGCCCCATGACCCCACTGTATGCCATATTCGACCACCAAACTACCACGACTCCCCTGGTTGTCATATTCGACCCCTTACACACTACCATGACCCCACTGTATGTCATATTCGACCACTTAACTACCACGACCGCCCTGGTTGTCATATTCGACCCCTTCTGAACTACCATCATCCCACTGTATGTCATATTCGACCCCTTCCAAATTACCATCACCCCAGTGTATGTCATATTTGACTACTTTCACAGTACTCACCTCACCTTTGTTCTACCTTTGTGTTTGTCTCATGATTAGTGATCCAATGCACTAGAC